CCCAGCTACTCAGGAGGCTGAGGCAGGAGGATCGCTTGAGCCCAGGAGTTTGAGGTTGCTGTGAGCTAGGCTGATGCCACGGCACTCTAGCCCAGACAACAGAGCCAGACTCTGTCTCAAAAAAAAAAAAAAATAAATAAATAAATAAAACAAATTAGGTACCAGTTTATAACTATCAGATGGGCCGAAATTGGGAGACGGATAACTCTAACCGTTGGCAAGAGCATGGGGAATGGGAGCGGTCGTGTCCTCCCCGGGCACCGTGAGCTGCAGCCGTCCCAGTGCGTGTGCGCCGGCTCCCGGGGAAATTAGGATCGTGAGTGTGTCCTGCTCACCCCTGAGCATGTACCCTAGAGACGCGGGCTCACGGACGAGGGCACCCAAGCTGCTCGTGAGTGCGACGTGGCAGACGCGCGCCCCATGTAGGAGCGGGGGCGGAGCCTGCTGGGCCGCAACAGCGCTGTTGAGTGAAAGAAACAGGGTGGGCTGTATTTTGGGCTCCGTTATGTAAATAAAAACACATGCAAGAAACCTGCTAAGGATCTAGTATCCAGGACATGCAAAGAACTCCTATAACTCAACAAAAGGACAAAATGACCCAATTTAAAAATTGGCTAAGACTTGAATAGACATTTCCTCCAAAGCACATGTACAAATGGTCAACAGGAGATAAAAAGACGCTCGACATTGCTAATCATTAGGGACACGCACATCACAGCCACAACGACGGCCATAAAAGCAGACAAAAGTGGAAAACGGTAAGTGCCAGCGAGGACCTGCAGCAACGGGGCCCTCGGGCATCGCTGGGACCGAAACGCGCCTGGCGCCGTGGAACGCGAATTGGCGTTTACTTAGCGGAACGGAACCGCCACAGGATCCACAGGATCCACTCCTAGGTGATGCACCCCAAACCGAAAACAGTTACTCAGACACACTTGTACGTGTGTTCACAGCAACACAATTTCAATAGTCAAAAGGTGGAAGCACCCAAGCGGCCGTCAGCGGAAGCGTGAACAGAACGCGGCAGATCCGCGCGTGGCACGTGCCCTCGCCTTCAACACGGCGGACCTTGAAACACGCCCAGCTATGCGGCCACACGTGCAAGGCACGCATCGCACGACTCCAGCTACATGAAATGCCCAGGACAGGCCGGTCCTGAGGGACAGGAAATAGATCGGGCCTAGCGGCAAGGGGCCGAGGAATGACCGCTTAACGGGTACGGAGTTTCTGTTTGGGGTGATGAAGTTCTGGAACTGGATAGAGGTGGTGGCTGCACAACACTGTGAATTGTACACTTGAAATGTTTAAAATGATGAATTTTATGTTATGCATTTTTGTTTTGAGACAAAGCCTCACTCTGTCACTTGGGCTGGAGTGCAGTGGTGTCATCGTAGCTCACTGCAACCTCACACTCCTGGGCTCAAGCAATCCTCCCACCTCGGCCTCCTGAATAGCTGGGACTACAGGCGCCAGCAGGGCTGGCTAGTTTTTCTATTTTTAGTAGAGATGGGGTCTCGCTCTTGCTCAGGCTGGTCTCGAACTCCTGACCTCAAGCGATCCTCCGGCCTCAGCCTCCCAGAGTGCTGGGGTTACAGCTCCAGCCACCATGCCCCGCTGAATCTCTATGGCCTCTAGGCCGCCCCTCCTCCCCCTCTTTGCGGGTTACTTGCCGAAGGCAGTTCATTGTTCTGGGGAGTCCAGCTACCCCGGACCTCGCAGGTGGTATCCTGGGCTGTGGTGTGGCGTGTTCCCAGCCCTTTGCATTTCCTGTGCCCCTGCAGGTGGACCTTGCCGTAAATGTCTGAACTGGTCCTTTGACTCCACCTCAGGTTCGTTTTCGTTCTAGCAGGTGAAGTTTTAGCAGCTTCCTGGATGGGCACAGTCTGGCCCAATCTGGTGAGGTTTGTAGTCGTCGGCGAGGCCTGGACCTGCCAGTCACTGGGAGTTACAAAGGGTGACTTTCCAGCTCTGTCCTTCCTTCTCGGTTACTGGCTGGAATCGTACGCAGAGAGATCACCTCAGGCCAAATGCCCGGCTCTTGCACCGGACGTGCCAGCTTTTAGGCAAACTCGCTGGTCTGGCGCCAAAGTGGCCGCTGGTTTTTATAGCATTACTATCAACTCGTGAGTTTTCACCCACTTGCTGCGTTTCAGTCCACTGCAATTTTGGCCTTATTGGCTCTCAGTGGTCCTTCTCCTGTCGGCTGGCGTCTGAGTCTGTCTGATGTGGCGCGTGACCTTCAACAACACCCCTGCTCTGCGGGGTACAGGGCGCTGCGGGGTTTCCTGCCCACACCTGAATTCCGCCATCTCCCCAGCAGCCCTGGGGCCTTGCCGTGGGAAATGTGTTTAGAGACCAGTCTGGGCACAGTGTCTTAGATGCCGCTTAGCTTAGTTAATGGAAGCTTCTGGAAGAGATGCGTCCTCTGAGAAAGTGTCCTGTATGCCGGGGAACCCAGTGCACCCCCGAAAGGCTCCCCTTCCCGGGCCGCCGGGGTGCCGATGGAGGGGCGAGGCGGAGGATGCTCTGCGAGTGGAGCAGCAGCTCTGGGGGCGCGGCCTGCGGAGCCCGCCCACGCGGCCCGGCCCTACGGCCCCAGAGCAACGCCCCCAGCAGGCAGCGGACGTTGTGTTTACTGGACGCAATTTCAAGGTCAAGACCCTTTCATCCCGGTGGCCACTGTGTTCGTAGAGGGAGGAGACGGCGTCAGGGAGGGAGCTCGGTGGCTCGAGGTGGAGAGGCTGGTCTCTGATCACGGAGACTTTATGGCTTCCAGGACCCCGGCCCGGAGGCCCCGACGCCAGACGCGCAGGGAGGTCCCACAGGTTGTCTCCTCAGGGCAGCATGTGGGCTGCCACCTGCCGGGGCTGCCAGCTGCACACAGAGCGCCCTACGGCTCCCCACAGCCCCCTGCGGCTGTGCGGGGCCTGCCCACCCCTGATGCCATCTGGAGTCCTTCCCAGTAGGAAGCTTGCCCCCAGTGCTGCTCCCTGCTGGGGACCCTCCTGGTGGTGGCCTCTGGTGGCCATGGTGCATGATTCCTGCGGATCTTCTCACATTTTCGGGAGACTGCACCTTTCTGGGAAAGTTACGCTTTACGCCCCATTGCTGGTGGGCTTGGCCCCGGGTCATATTTCACACAGGGACATGAAGGGGAAGGGGCTTTAGGAGGCCATGTGGGGGTGGCCCTGCTCTTTTCTTTGTGCCCTGGGACCACAGTGTTTCAGGGGGAGGCTTCTCCAACAGCCTGGAGGCTTCTCTAACAGCCTGGAGGCTTC